AATACGAATCCTTAATGAATCTACCGAGTTCAAGATACCTGTATACTACATCAGTTATCAGTAGGGCATCTTTTCAGATATCCAATTACCAGTGTGTCACAGGATCTTAGTGGAGTACTCTGCTGAGAATAGTCTCAGTACATGAATACTTACCAGGTACCTGTCCAATTTCTATGGCTTTCCATAAAAATTTTTTCAACAAGTTTGTAAATTGAATATCTCGAAGCATTTTGTAGGCGAATGTTAAAAACTTGTAAAGTATTCAAAGGGTTCTTACAACACACTGGTAGCAGGATATCCTGAATTCAGTACATTCACAAGAGAATATGAAAGAATACTGACAACACGTCACATTTAATAAATGATCTTTGGAAAAAATGCATCTCGAAATTAGAACATTATCGTCAAGAAACAGATATATTTAAAAGTTGTTCTATCCGTTCAAATAGTAAATTTATTATGAAAAGAATTAATACGACATTCATAGATGAATTTTATGTTTATACTTAATAGACTTGATCAAGCAAAAACTTTAACTGTATAAACAGTAAGAAAATTTTTTTTTCCATTAATCATCTTTGGCCATTGTTGTATCGTTATTTCATGAGCAGTCAAAACACGTACGCGGAGCAAGAAGAACTAATGATAATCCATTTGAGAACACACAGTAATAAGCAGTTCAACTTGTTTTATTAAATACTCTATTTTGAGTTTGACTTTACTAACTTTATTATATTTCAATGGTAAATGATAAAGTCGAAACACTCGATAATCAAAAAATTAGGAAAACAGCGTATGATATCAACAAATGACTTGATAGATTAAAAATGTTCTATCTAAAAGGGTACTTTATGCTGATGTTAATATAACATTGATTGATAGATTATTCGAAGAAACTTCCGAATTCAAAATATTCCATTGTAAGTTCTACATTATAAAAACCTTAAAATCAAAGAATCATCTGACTTATGCAGATCAGTATTGATGACACGATGTACTCATACGAAATGAATATTTTACTTCGACTTTGTATCATATTGTATCTGTTCAAACAACTCGTACCAATTTTTCTTGAATGAAAAAAAATCAAAACTTTGAAAAATTAAGTAAATATGCGAATAAATCGATTATGTTACTCCTAAAGAATTAATTTTAATTTTAAAAAGCTGTGAACGTTCGATATTCAAACTTGTATAAATGAGACATATGATCTGTAATTACATAATTGTTCTCATCGATTAACAACAATGTTGACTAAATTATTGAAAGTAGTAATTCTAAAACGTTGCAATTGGAAAAGTTAATTATGTGTCTATTAAATATTTCAAAATTTTTGAAAAGGTATCACAACAGCTGACAGATAAGTACATCAAACTCGACCTTGTTATCGATATCTGATTCGTAATGTTTAGAAAATGTTCGGACAATTTTCAACAAATCAATCAGGAAAGTGTCTATGAAAGTATCTTGATCAATTTGTTCAAATACGCAACTATACTAACTTCTTTATTAGAAGAATATGGACTTGAAAGTAATGATTGATTTATTTCTAAGTAGAATTTCGTGAATTTCGAACATGCATTAACCAAAAAACAACCGAGCATAAATTTGTTGTCATCAACTTTCAAATTGTCATAAAATTTTCTCTTATGGCGAACCATTCTGTTTTTTTTTTGCATCAGAAATTATCAATAAGTAAAGACGAGATAATAAAGCAAGTTGTAAAATAAGTTGCTTGATACTGTTTCTGTCAATAGTCTTGAGAACCAATGATTTGAGATAATAAAACGATGCATTGAAGATTATTGAATTCAACAGATTTTCTATATAATATATTTTCAATAAATGAACCAAAAAATCTCTGATAACTATGTGATATGAAAATTTGTGTATAAGCACGTTGAAAGATGCGAAAGAAGGATCCATTTTGAGTAGAAAAGATGACTAAATAAGAGTAATTTCAAAACTAATGTACAAATTTTAAAATAGTTTATTCATATAACGACTATCAAAATATTTAAAAAAATTTCATCGCATAATTTATTGAATAAATTTCTATTACTAATTATTCATCTACTGATTACATACACCACTTACCTTTCATCAATCATTGTTAATAAATAAACATGAGAATAAAAAAATTTGAAGAACATCATTGAAAATTACAAAAATATTTAACTCATTTTTCAAGTTTGTTTTTTTTCATCCAAAAATCTTTTTCATATTTTAACTATGTTTACTATAAGACATAGCTCTATGTGAAAATTCAATAAAATCTAAAAGTATTGGTTTATATAATAAATTTTCTAATAACGATTAAAAGCATAAAATGGTCATTTTTTCATTGTTTATATGTTTAAATAACAAGTATTTATTGTGAATTATGCTTGCCTCTTATAATGTATGTAATTTCATTGTTTTTGTTCAATAGAAAGTTTTATTCATTTAATCCACTATCAAAATATTTTTTCGATTGTAATCATAAATACTGAATTATTCATTTCTAAACTTGAAAGTTAATGGAAACGATAATTTTCAGAAGTAATTCATGTAACTATAATGAATTTTGATATAACTTGAACATGATATAATAGTTTTCTATTTGATAATTTTTGATTGATTGTTTTAGATATTCATTATAATGATAGATAGCATTATCAGCGACTATACAAAAAAAAGAAACGTTATGATAAGTAGACGTCCAAGTATAAGGAAACTGTTAGCAAGCATTATTGTTTTCTGTCAAAGATGCTTGACGAGAGAAGCAAGATGGTCAACTGAGTATCTATTTGTATGTTCAAAAAGATATCTTAATAGTAAGCTATCAGAATAAAATGTCGTATCGAATATCCTTCCTATAGATAGAGCCTTTTTAGTTCCAAGAACTTTTAGATTGATTTTAGTATCATTAAACATGACTATAACTTCCTATTTCTCAGTTTTATCAAATATTTTATCGATAAAAATAGATGAACTAGTGCGATATTCGAAGAAAAGAAGGAAGTGACTAAAATGCTTCAATAATTTAATGTAGTCACTATTCGATTTGGATATTATTTATTTAATTAGTGTTTCAATATATGATTGATTTTTCTGTTTTTTTTTTTTCGTTCTTTTCTTCCATATGTTGGAAGTTTCCATCATATCACCAAGAGCGTATTCTAATGAGTAGGGTTCCAGGAAAGGAAGTTTAACAAATCCATAAGTAACAAGCATTCGAACGAAAGTGAAAATCAAGTAGAATTTAACAAAAAAGAAAATAAAGAAGTTTTCAAAATTAGATGAACACTACTATAACCTCTCGCTCGTGATATCCTTGTTTATTTCTATGTTCATATATAAATATAATGATTGTTCTTTTTGTTTTATAACTAGAATCTATTATTCATACCTGATAATTATTGTTGATAAAGCAGATGAATATTTCACCATTCAAAGATAAAGTCTATGGGGAAAAACTATCATTTCATTTATAATAGGTAAATCATACATGTGTAAGTTTTTAACAGTTAAAATTCAAATCATAGTAACATAAAAAAAACAAACTATTAATAACATTCTATGTTGTGACAGTCGATCGAAAACCATCGGTAAACCCTGGTTCTTCTACTTAATTTTTTTTTATAATTCGACGGTATGAATTTTTTTCAACTCTTAGAAAAATGACAGACCTAAGTAGAAATCACACTTCTTATCAATTGTGAACGCGTTTGAGCCGTCTATACTAGTTACATCGATCGATCCGACTTACTTTACGAGTTTAATTGTCTAGTATAAATGACACTTCAAATTTATTCGTTAGTTGTAAGATAAAACCAATAGAAATATTTGCAGTGTCATCTAACATAACATGTTGTTACTCATAAAAATTGTCTTTTTTTGAAATGAAATCGTTGTTTTCACGACAGACGAATCTAAATTAATAGAAAAAATAAACAAAAATCGGTATAGACACATGGGATAGACCTTGTGTTTTTGATCTAAGTATGGTTAATAGAATATTCAACAATAGCATGACGAGAAATCAATTCTTCAGTAAAATTCGAAGACAATTTTGTCGATAATATACAGACATAGATATCATATAGTCCTGGTATACTGTTCGTACTATTCATGGAAAAAGAAGAATAACATTTTTTTGTTATCTGTTGTAGTGTATATGCTAACACTAACATAATTTATTAGTTAATAAATGCCCTGAAAAATCAGGTAAACATAACACTTATTTCAAAAAGAAGTAAGAGACACATAAAAAAAATAGATATAACGTTGAGAATAGATTATTAAGTATTAATTCTCATAAAACTTTGAATTTTTTGTCGACAAACAGGACATGACTTAAGTGCATATCCACAAGGAACACAAGCACATAAATGTCCACAAGGCATACATGCTAATTGTTTCTCTTCTGTAAGACATATTAGACATTCACCAAGTGATTGTTTTGATGATAAAGATGAAGTTTCTAATTGTTGATGTTTTGATGGAACTATTATTTTATCTTGACAACCTTTAATATGATCAATTTGTTTTTGAAGAATAAGACAAGCTGTTGATAAATCAACATCTGTTACAAAATCATCTTGTTTAATTCTTAATTGATCTTCAATACAACGTTTAATTATTGGCAATCGATATTGAGAACGAAGACGTTCAACAACAGGTAAATCAATTCTTGCTGCAACTAATTGACTAAGTTCATTTTGATGTATTTTATTTTCTATTAGAATTCGTTTTTTTGATAATTGAATTTTTTTATATAATTCATCTCCACATAAATGTTTAGCATAAGTACATTGTGAAAACCATCGAGCATGTTCAATCATTGGATTATCATCTGCACCCCATTTATGTAATGATCCATTACAATAAAAACATGTTACTGTATTTTTAATACCACTAAAAAAGAATCCTGCACGAACTAAATCTTCAATATTTGGTGAACTTTCAGACCAAGCAGCATTTGAAAATGTTGCTTCTCGACGAGATATTTCGGCCATTGTTGGATGAGTTGGCTCAAATTTTTCATTAAAAATATCATTAATAATTTTTGGTAAATGTTCTATTGAAGGCATTGAAAGAATAAATGGACATTGTGGAGCAAGTCTTCTATGAACTTCAATTGGATTATCATTTATTGTCCATCCATGACATATTGTATTGCAATATATACAAATAACTCGATCATTAACATTACATGAAAACCAACCAGCAGATATCATTGATTCACAACTTGGTGTAAAATGTGGCCAATGAGAAAGACTACGAATTCTAACTTGTTTTAATGATTCTGATTCATTTAAAAAATATTTTTTTTGAACAACTTCTTGTTGTTGTTGTTGTTGTTGTTTTGAAATATCATTTGTTGGAATGATAAATTGTTTTTGTTCGTTTATTCTACCTACAATAGAGTCATGACTTTCTACATAAGAAAGTTTTGTAAAATCTCTTGATTGTATTATATCAGTGTTAGCCATATCAATAATATATAATATATAAAGAACTAACAATATTTTACAGCTTATATATATGAGAATGAATCGATCTACTCTGGAAATTTCTCAATGATTCTCGTTTTTCTTTTTTCTTTTTTTTTATTGAAACAAGGTATGTGATGCAAAGGAAAAAACCCTTCCATAGTGATACACGCGTCATATTAATGACTATTGCCACTGAAGAAAAAGAAAGAAAAGAAAAAGAACCTTTATACTTGTTTTTTTCTTGCTCTCCATGAGGACATCCTACAAAAAAACGCTTTCGCTTCCTCTTTTTTTTTTGTATCTTGCATAGTTAGGAAGTTGTGGCTTAGACTTTAATTTATATATCACAAATACTCTTCCAACTAAACACTAATTCGAAACTATTTTGAAATTGTCTTGAATATTTTAATGATAAATTAATTTAGAATATTATGTCATCGAATTTTTTCAATTTCAGTCGGTTTCTTTTTTTTTTTTTAATTAAACTGAATTCAAATCGAATAATTAGAAAAAAAAATATTGTTGTATAAATTTACAGCATTAGTATTTCTCAACCAAAACAAAAAGGTTTTATAATTGTGACGTGTGAATATTATCTATGATGTGTTGTTTTTCACGGTTCGATGTAGTGATAGTTGACAAACATGAATAGATTCACCTATGTTTTCACCTTATGAGTCCTAAAAAAAAACAAAAATATTCATTTTTCATTGGACAATGTTTTTATCCAAATATTTATCGAAACGATTGCTTTTTATTTCTATTCTGTACAACTTCTCGCAAAAAAACATAAGTTTGCGAGCAAAACAAAAAAGCATATGGCAAAGTAATTTTGTTTTTTGCATGCACACACCGATAAAATAAAATGCATGTTTTTTTTTTACATGTAAATGCAAAAAGTGAGGAAGGACGATCGGGTACATAATCTTATTTTTTATGCCGTTACATCATCTATGGTGAAGAAAGAAAAGGAAAGAAAAATCATGATTGTGTTCTAGATTTTGCTTGGAAATTTCCAAGGGAGACCTCGATATTGATATATTAAAAACATGTCATTTAATATTTATTTGACACGTCAATCGACATGAATCTTTCAATGATTCTTGGAATTTTCATACAGGCTTTGACTTAATTAAAACTTAGACAAGTCAAATAAACATTCTTTTGTATTATTTTGCTTGTTCCAATCAGAGAAAGAAATTATATGGTATAAACTATGAAAATTATATAATAATTTGATATGAAGAAAATAAACATAAATTGATATTTGTTATCTATTTATAATAGTTGACTAAATTAAAAAATAAAAAATATACACGGATGATTTGAGCATGAAAATCTAAAAGCAAACTATGCCTACATTTTATTTATAAATTATAAATTTCAATTGTTTTAAGTTTAAATAGATTCATTCATCTACTCGATTAATTGTATAATTCATTGTTTCTTGTAATATTTCAGTTATTTCATCTTTATTCTCTTGAGTATAAGAGCAATCCATCAGAAAAAAAATATATATTCTTGAGTAATATAATTCGAATCAAAAACTTGAAATTCTCTTTCTTTTTCTTTTTTGATGTATTGCATATTTAAACGCAGATTAATAGAAAAATAAATATGAGCGAGTTCGATCTCGTTGATTAATCGTCTAATTGTAATTTTTCTTTATTATTTCATACTATGCTAAAATATTCTGTTTCTTCCTCAGAAATGCATCATAATTATACTAATGATGAAAGACAAATTATAAACGAATCATTTGCATGTATTAAAAACGAATTTGGTTGTATCAAAATGAATGATTCTTCCCTGATGACAGAAGAAATTTGGCTCTTATCAAAATCAATGTCTTGACATAATTATTGACAGAATATCGATGTATATCTGTATAGATGAAACAAATATACCGATGTCTGTATTAGTTTGGTAGACGGGAAAATTATTGTCATCGGCCTCGAAATCATTAATTGAAATAATTGCGACATTTATGATATGTAGTATATCGAAAAGTATTTAAAAAAATACATTCATACAAAACAAAAGCAAATCTATGCAATTGAGACATCCACTGTAGAATCACTCGTAGCAATCAATGAGTATCAAGACAATATGTTCTTCCTGCCTTTTTTCCTTTTCTCTTACATGGAAAAGTGATTCTTCAGTATGATTATGTTAGAATTCACGCCCATCACCTAAACATTGAAATAGCATGGAAAATATGTGAATGAGTTGTAAAAAACGAGTGCATTCCTCTTGTAAAACTTTCTACATGATTATTAGTATGTAAAAGTACGAAGTCGTTTCAATGTGACCATTCCTAATAGGATACTTAAAACGAGTTGAACCATCATCAGCATAAATCGATACAATATAATTATTATATTTTCATTGATTATGTGTGAAATGATCTTCGTCAGTCTTGAATTATTTTCCATAAATTCTGAGAAATATAAAAACACTTTAACATGTGCTTCAGAAAGTATAGTTGTAAATGAAACCTTTGATTATAGATAGATCAAAATTACACTTTAAGGCATCTCTCCCCTCAAAAATCCATTTCAGCCTAGAAATGTTCAAATGGCATGAAATTTTCAGGATATGTTGGGACTGTAGCGGATTAGCTATAATAAAATTTTCAACCCTATATCATGATGTTTGATAGAGACATTCATCAAACAGGGATCAAAAATAACGCATTTGGCAAACCAAATTTCTCTGCCCAGGCTCATTCTATATATATGTATTAATTTTGTTTTGTTTTGAAAGAGTATGTTAGGATGCAGAATACCACAGAGTTCTTTTTTTTTAAAAATACTTACTTTTTAAGCGGAACTTTGGAAGTCACATTAAATTTCTGTACAATGCAAAAAACACAACTTATGAAATGAAAATAGCCAAAGAGTTTCCTTTTTAAAACTCTTTTTTTTGCGATGAATTTCTTTTTGGAACATCTCACGATAGAGATAAACGACTTTATTAAAAAAAGACTTTCATCAATAATTAGAATGTTTTAATTTAGGATTAACTTATTTCAGACTAGGAGCAATCAAAAGATCTGAAACATTCACAATAAACTATTCTTATTGAAACCTGTTCCTGTACAAAGTTTCAAGTTGAAATTTGAAACTCAGTTTTTCTAGTGTTTCTGAGGAAGACCACGACTTTTTTTTCTTATACATACAGTAAAATTGCAATATCTCAGCAATAATAAGCAAGCAGCAGGAACTTTTTTCAGAGTATTCATAGATCATTAGGGCCTACATGATGCGCATACACTCCACTCAAAAGTGATGTGACAATTGGGAATGTTCCCTTGTAAGTGCATTCCGAAGGACTCGGAAAATTTAGTCAGACTAAGAAATTTCAAAAGATTTCTACATTTGTTAAAATTTACGATCCAAGTCTCCACTATTTCCCTCTTGAATAATACACTCTGGATGGGATATGTGCATCAATCGCATTTTAATGGAACATATATAAAAACCGATTGTATATCATATACCGCATACTATCATTAACTGTATCAGACAGTTTTTGGTCTTTTTCATTCTTATCAAACCAAGATCAGCTTCACAAAAAAATCCCATTAGGGCTAGAAAGAAATTCCCATAAACACATAGACGATGAGCGTATGACGAAATGACAAATCAGTTACGCTTTAAAAGTCATCATCTATTTCGTCAGACATCACCAATACACCATCAGTTTTGTATTCGACGCCAAAGACTTTCGTGCCGCTTGAATTACTTCTTCTCTAATTTGATTCCGGTCGAGATGGAGTGTAAGGAGTGTCTATGTGAATTGAGAGAAGGCGTATAGGATGGTAATAGAAAGTGAATAGTTACTTTGTTAGTTTTTAGAGCTTCAGTAATATGTTGAACTCCTTGTTGTCCGATTTGATTTTCGGTGAGGCCCAGTTTGATGAGCGTCTATGTGAATTGAGAGAAGAAATGTATGGTGGTAATAGAAAATGAATAATTACTTTGTTAGCTTTTAGAGCTTCAGCAATATATTGAGCTCCTTGTTGTCCTATTTGGTTTTCGGTGAGACCGAGTGTGATGAGTGTCTGTGCAAAAAGAAGAGAAGAAGTATGCGATGGTGATAGAAAGAGAATATTTACTTTATTAGTTTTGAGAGCTTCAGCAATATATTGAGCTCCTTGTTGTCCAATTTCATTTCCATTGAGACTGAGTACAATGAGCACCTGTATGAATTAAGAGAAGGAATATGTGATGGTACTTGAAAGAGTATAGTTACTTTGTTAGTTTTAAGAGCTTCAGCAATGTGTTGAGCTCCTTGTTGTCCGATTTGATTATTTGCGATATATAGTTCAGTGAGGGCCTGTATCAAATGAAAGAAGGAATATGTGATGATAATAGAAAGAGAATAGTTGCTTGGTTAGTTTTGAGAGCTTCGGCAAGGTGTTGAGCTCCTTGTTGTCCAATTTGATTTTCGTCAAGGCCGAGTTGGATGAGTGTCTGTGTGAAATGAGAGAAGAAGTGTTTAGTAGGAATAGAAAGAGAATAGTTGCTTGATTAATTTTTAGAGCTTCCGCAATATATTGAGCTCCTCGTTGACTGATTAGATTTTCGCTGACGTCGAGTAAAGTGAATGTCTGTGTGAAATGAGAAAAGGAGTGTAGAATGAAGATAAAGCAAGAAAGGTGTATGTGTAGGAATTTTATGCTATTGGATATAAAAGCCTTGAATATGTCTAGATGACTATGTACACCGGTTTCTTTGCGTATAGAATTTGCCCAGATGAATGCTATATATTTGATTCTGATTGAAAATCCACAAGATTGAATGCCAATCTTGTTGGTTTAAGTATGAGATAGAAAAACTGAAGGAATTGCTATTTACGGAAAATACAAAATTGAGAAGAATGATACGGTTTTGAAATAGAAGCCACTGCGGCGAAGAGGTGATCATATATGTAGTTTCGAAGTCTTTTCAAAATTAATGGTGGATTATCTAACGATTAGAGAAAGACTATTGATGTTCTTCGGTTCATTGAATAAGTATCATTTTGCTGAAACTATCATCATTATCGAATCGATAATATCGATTTGATGCAGCACAGTCGCGGACAAAGACATTTTGGCACAAACACATCGTCATACATGATAGTACCCTGCTGACGCTTGTAAAAATAATTTTCTTGACGATGAGAGGAAGTGGTAGTATCTCACATCCATAAGGTGCATTCCTTGAGTAAGGGAGATAGTACAAACACAAATATAAAGAGAATAAGAGACTGTGATAGACTATTAAAAGTCTGACTATACCTTGGTAGAGTTTCTATATTTACGAAACCAACGTACAACATTACAGATCTTGCAGATAAATTTTTCCTATGAAAAGGATATAGAAATTTCGAGTTATTGTATAATTCTTCTGCCGGATGAGTTCTATCCTATTCGGGTTAATAAAATTCATTACTATGAATAAAAGAAAGATTCCCTGTTTCCATATTATTGAATCATGGATTATTAATTAAAAAGAGGCTATAAAGATCAAAGGAATTTTTAATACTGATGAAGTTTGAAAGAATTATTAAATGAACAGGAATAGAACAGAAGAAATTAGTTCTATATGGAAATATCGGTCAATCCATTATCAATGGTTAAATGGATATTTGTGTTTTTGGGGCTCTGTATATTAGTGAATAAGTTGAATCAGTTTTCTTTTTCCAGTAAGAAATGGTAAAATGCTGAACAAAATCTACCCCACATTGGTCTCATTTTAAAGTTCTCTGAATTCGTCCTACTGTATATAAAGTCGTTATCAGTTTATCAATAAAGATGAATCTTACTAGTATGAGAGAGGGTGACATCTTGCTTTAAAGTTTAATTATATGGTGGATCGAGTGAACGTACACATGATATTATAGGATATAGAAGATAATGTAATCTTTATTCATATCTTGATTGTATACTTTCTCCCTTACCGTGCTTCAATATACACCCAGTGAATAAAATCAAAAGATATTGACTAATTGAAAGTTTCAATATACAATTAAACGAGTAAATAAAACTTGCGTAGAATGTTGATGTTGAAACAGAAGTTGTTCAAGCACATTAACTTTGTCTCTCGATAATACAGACGTTCGCCGTCAATTAAATGCTCACAACAATTCTTATAAAGCATCTCCACCAAGCAAAATTAATTATGATTGAAGAAACAATTGAAATAATGAAGAAAAGAGAACGAGAAGAAATCATGCCAATTTCAAAAATTTATAGTGAGAAAATAGTGACTTTACTAATGTGACATCTTCGGGTGCTCACTAGATTTTCTTTTTCTTTTCTTGCTTCAATTGATTCCACTCTTTTTTATCATCATTTACAGAATTATTCAATTTTACCAATATGTTTAAATGATATAGTCTTATCAGGGAAATGGAGTTTAACAAAGTATGGTGAACATTTTGTATTAGTCGGTGAATGTTGTAAGTTCTCATTTTATTTTTGAAAATGGTAAAAATGTTTCTTTAGATGATAATGAGGAACGAATTTTGATGTTTAGATCACAATGGAGTATTACATTATTGTCATATCACTCAAGATGGCATCCTGATGGAACTTTTTTAGTCAGACCATTGCTGTTTGCTCAAATTTATATAATATTTGGTTATTTTAACGGTTTTGTCATTCTTTATGTTTATTGTTTAACATTCAAGAAGAAACGAATTACATAGGAAAAAAACTTTCACTCATCTTTTATCTATTGAATTATTTCGTCGCAACATCAAATTTTCTCCAGAAGTTATTACTTGTGCTTTTGAATTAGGCAATATAAATGCTGCTACTCAAATATTTCCAAATATTAACATTTCTGCTTGCTTTTTTCATTATTCTCAAGCATTATGGAGAAAGATACAAGAACTAAAACTTAATCCACTTCTTTCTCGATCAATCAAAAACAATGCTTTTATTTCTGATGAAGAAACTCGGAAAGCTAACCAATAGTTTTCAACAGTTGTTGGTTTAGCATTAATTCTCCATCATTGCTAGAGTCTGTATGGACGGATATAATGGATAAAATTTTACTTTTGAATCACTATTAGCACACAAATTTAACAATTATATGGTACCTCATTATGTTTATCAAGAGTCATCTGGATATTCGATTGGACTTTTGGAACGGTCAAGATGATATTCAAAATAAACTTTCACGGATGAATAACGCGGCGGAAGGATATAATTATCGAATATTTAATGTCTTTCCTCGACATCCTAACGTCTATGAATTTGTTCGTTACTTAAAGGATGAACATGAAAATCAACATCATAAATCGGAAGAATGTCAAGTTCAAGTTAAAAAATGAAAAAAATTACATGAGAGGATAGATGAACAACTTCTCATATTATTGGAAGAATATGAAATCGGACAATTAACTCCAGCTAAATTAGTTATTAAATCAGCTAAAGCAGTCAAAATTAAATCAATAAAAAAAAACAAAGTTTGTGACATCAACTGTGTTTTCTTTCTCTACAAATGTTCTCAAATTTTTCTTGTGTTGTTGTCTGAAAAATTGATAAAGAATAAATCATAAAGTGATACCACTTCAGATTTCTTAAGTGACAAACTAATAAGAACCTGATATACAGTAAGATGAATTTGGAATCGATTTTTCTTGCATGGACTGAATTCGGAAAGCTTTAAAATGGAAGGAGTTAACCAGGGACATAAAATGTGATGAATATGGGAGACATCCTCAACAGATTCACTTGGACACGGAGATAAAAATTTCAGCGCTGTGGGAAACTGTTACAGGTTGTCCTAAATAACGAATAATGGAGAAATAAATATCGGAATCACGCTTATCATAGTTCTTTACTGAGAAGTATTGCAAAAGATTATCTTTTATTTCTCGAAGAAAAGCAAATGATTTTGGGTTGGATACCGTAAAAAAAGAAACTTTTAGAGATGGCTTTAGAAAAGCCACTCTAAAAATTAAATGTCATCGTTAAAAATATTTTCGAAAATCTATATTTGAAAAATATCCTCCTTTACGAACATTTTTTTTCTATACGAGAAGGAATGTTAGAATTCATTTGAACATTAAAAATTAGAAATCGTTTTATTTATCCTTTAAAGAAAATAAGATAAATTATATTGTAAATTGTTCGCAATCATGATTTTTTTGAGTTTCTAATGACAATCGTTTACAAAAAAAAACATAGAAAATTTTACTGAATTGATAGTTTTTAAACTGATAATGTATTTTGTACTTTTTATTAACACATAATTAGAAAGATATTACAATTTCTATAAACTAGCATTTGTTCTATTCGTTATTAACATATGTTCATTTAGTAAGCTGGTCGATGCAGAGTTTTACAAAAACAATAATAAATATCTTTAACTTGATTATTGAGAATTTTCGTCTATAAATTTTAGGAAATCAAAAAAAGAGAATAGAATAGCTTCTAGTGATGTTTGATATTTCGATTTTTGCTCTTTGAAACTCAATGGCAAATTTCACTTTTGTATTTTGAGGAAAATTGAATCATTACTCTTTTAAACATAACAAACTAAGTTTTTGTGAAATCTCAGAACAAAAAAATTATGAATCCCAGTGTCAACAATTATTTTCTCATGTTAATTTAGATAAAACTAACACAATCAATCAACTATAAAGTTTAAAATCAAATTAGCTGTGCTCTACGAAAACATATTTTTAGAATACTCATTATTACAAAAATATCGAATATAAATAGATTGCAATTAGATAAAGGCATCACTATCACTTGCCTTCGTATTCCCACTTTTATTCTTATTTCTAAATCACTCAAGAAAAGTAATAACTATAAAGAAATGTTTCTGTACCGTGTTTTGTCGTAACACATCAGCCACAATCATCATATCTGAATCGGTCAAATCTCTAAACTTTAAATCAAGTTCTTGGTTTCTTCGATTATCAGTAATGAATTCTTCAAGTTGCAGATTGCGATATAGTGGAACTTCAACATATCTTCCACATTGAAGAATTTTTTCTTTTAAACTTGGAAATTTGTTGATTCCTTCTAAAAAATATTCAGTTACAGTTGGCGTTTGCAATGATTTTAATGTTTCATTTGTTTCGTTCACATAATCATCAAATCCTTGTTTGGCTTCTAATAATTTTGTATGATTTCTAATTGATGAAAGCATTGCGAATGACACTTTTCGTATATTCAAACGTTGAAGTTCATTCATTAATGGCATTTTATAATTTTCAAGTCGTTTTTTCTGTTCTTTTTCAGTATTCAAAATCTTTTGTAACATATCTTTCTCATGTTCATCAATAATTCGACGCATTTCTGCCATAGTTTCAGTCATCTTTTGTCGACTAAGTTTACTATTATTATCAATTGCATTTAATAATATTTCTGCTTGATTGATTTTATACTTTAAAGAGGATTCAATACTTTGTAAATCAATATTTATCTATATCATGAAAGAAATACGATACTATAATCTTCGATATTATATAAAACTTATGCTAACCTTGATTTTTAATCCTTGTATCACATCATCAAACAAAACATAACTGTGATCTTCATGTTGAAATAAAAGACAATCAACACATATAAATGTCGAACATATGAGACACCAATATTCCAGTGGCTTTTTAGGATGTGCAATACATGGAATAGTTTCCGATGATTTTTGATCACTGGAAAGACGTTGATGTTTGTGCATTACTGGAGGAGCATGAACAGTTTCATAACATGCTAAACAAAAGTATTCATTTTCACATTTGTTACATGCATATTGAGCCTTGGCCGAACGACAGTTAGTGCATCGATTTAGTTCTTGAATCGAACCTGAAAGATTAATATAGTTAGACAATAAGAATATGTGAAAAACTACGTATACACGTATAGAAATGCTTCTATGTTGTGGGGAAAAGAAAACAATATTGCGTTTCGTAACATGATAAGCTATTCTACTTACCTTGTAATTCTACTAAATCACGTATTGGTCGATTAAGAGGTAATGAGGCGATATCTTTTTTCAGCACTACAAATCCATCCCGTAGTGGACAATCAAATTTATCTTTGTTTACAGAAGCCATACGTTCAATGCATTGGCGACAATAAGTGTGCGAACAAGGTAACAGGCGTGGATCTTTGAAAGACTTATGACAAATCGCACAGGTAATCAAATTTTCCACAGTAACACTTTTACTAGTTGCCATATTAATGAATCAATAACAAATGTATGTAGAATGAAAGATCTTTAATCTAAAATCGATAAAGTAACGCAATGATCAGATGAGAATTGTCAAAAATCAAGTATTTATTCAATATTACTTGCCAAATTTATATTCTTTATCTATCAAACAACTTACATTCTCATTATTGCAGTAAATTCATTGAACTTCTCTTATATAATATGATTTCGTCATACTCTAGATCAGAGTAGAAGAGGTCTTAAAGTCCATGCAACCATCACTAACATCTGTATGATCACTTAACTGCTTAAAGAATATGTATTTTATAGGTCAAAGATGATTACATTTCTTTTTTCCTTGTATTACTAACAAGATCAGAAAAAGAAATAGAGTGTTGTCAATCGACTGGTCTAAAATGCGTAGCGATACCAGTCTGAATCGGCCTCGATCGACCTCTACTCGTCAATATCGATTTCATCTCTATTGTAAGAAATAAAGCTCAAACTGAGATCCTATAACGTCAATTCAATTCAGATCACTTTCAGTCATTTGTATTTACTGAAAAACGTATGTAACTGTTCAAGAGTATTATGTGAACATGCATGCTTATGTGTCTGAGGCTGAATTATACATGCGTTTGCACTTATGGAGCTTCATGTATGCACATATTGAATACTTTTTCACATAAAGATATGTGAATCGTTCTCTGCGAAAACTAACACGTTAATGTATGAGAAATCTTGCATGTACTGGTTACATAAGTCATAGAATCATCAAAATAATCCAGATCATATGTACATGATATGCATGAAAATGCATGAATGTTTTTTCCAGATATAAAACTCAGTCATACAGACATTATTTTATGCATCGAACTTCTTTGCCACTTTACTATTCACTTACATTAGATCTGTGCTGAGTGTGAAAACTCTCTGGTAATCATTGAACGTGTTCGAACATGAATGTAGTAATCGGTTATTTAAGAATTCGAAGAAATGAAATAATCTTTTTAGAAAATACTATTTGAGTTTAAGGGCGAGGAAGCTCGTGATTAGAAATATACAAAGACTAAAGAAACATCTGCATTCCTACATGAGCCTACGTGTATATTACAAAAAATTAAAAATTTGTGGTTCAGTACAGGATCACTATCAACTTCATTCTCTTAAATATGATGTTTTTTGCATGCACATGTAGCTAATCGTTTTGCTACGAACATGCGAATGATAGACTTGACATTGATTAACTTGCAAGATTATCGCATGTAAATATTTACAAGAATTAAAGTCATGCATCAACTTAGATATTTTAAAAAATGGAACCATTGCGTTTGTGTGAATGTGTTATATGTATTAATTGAAAATATTTGAGAAGATTTGCATATTCGTACCTGAAATATGATAATGTGAAAACAGAAGTTTCTCAAAATTTACTGCGAATGCACTTGTACTATATGCTTTCCAATCGATTGGGCTGTTAAATGTAAGTGAAACATTATTGACTAATACACAGGGTATAACAAAATTATAGGCTCCCTTTTATTTTTGAAATTTTTCAACAAAGATGAATAGCTAGATCAAATCTAAGCGAGTTTTCCAGAAAATCGATTCACTGGAATTTTATGTCCTATAGGAGTTCGCAAAAAAATATTTTAAAATATAGTCATCTGAAAGAGCAAAAAATTCTGGGCAAAATGAGGGGTTGCCCAGCTCTCCAGAATGTTTTGTTGCAAAGTTATAAGCATCAGAAAACTCAAAAAATTGCATAATTTATCAAAAAACCGGTAAAACTCGGCTAAAAACATATTCTTTTGATTTTTCTGATGCTAATAACTTTGCAATGAAACATCGTGGAAAGCTGGACAATTCCTTATTTCGCTCAGAATTGTTTTTGCTCCTTCAGATGACTATATTTAAAAATATTTTTGCCAAATTTCTATAGGAGATAAAATGCCAATGAATCGGTTTTCTAGAAAACTCTCTTCACAAAGTTTTTTTTTGAAATTTTGTTCCATATTGTGTTCGATAGAGAGTCTCAAGAGCTATCCAAATCACTATCTATATTTTACCTAGCTATTCGTCTTTCGTGAAAAATTTCAAAAATATAAGGAAGCTTATCATTTTATTAGACTCTGTACGTATAACATCAATACCTTTGTCTCTTCAAAGAAGGCCACTGATTCAATGTTAGTCAAATAAGGAACCAATCAGACGTTGGGTACACAAATCCTGCTAGCTTTTAGTATTCGTTCTTTTGACTATAACCGAACTGGGACTAGCACAAGGTAAATTCATGATCTGAAAAAGTTGAATGAAACCTGGTTGTCAATGACGATTTCCGAATCATATTTCTAGTTTCAAGATATCGATAGCCGTATGCGCAATCGGATGTTATTGTTCGGGCAATTCTCTTCCATGATAATCATGCTTTAATTTACCATGCTTCTCAGCTCTGAGATAGTTCTACTATTTGTCTACTCTTTAGTTTTTGAACAACGCTAATGATCAATTTATATATAAAACTATGTAAAGCTCATTGAAAATGAATATGATTAAGGGTCATGTTTTTGTAGAAATATAAAAAAATATCACCCTTTTTAGAACTAAACAGAAGAAACTCCTATGGATAATATATGAACTCTTCAAGATATTCTGATGTGTTCTGATTTTACAGCAAAAAAGGTAACCCTCAGAATAAAAAGGCATAGCCTTCTATTACGTTCCAATGAATCGACTTCTTTTCGGTGGTGTTCTATTGTAAGGGTTTAGAAAGTAATTATTTCTGGGCTTTTTTGTTGTTCAAACAAGTAAAGACTCTGAAAGAAGTACTGTATGAATATTTCCTATTAATATCGTATAGGTTCATTTCTCTTTTGTTCAGCTGTATAGGAATTTCTGAAACGATTTTTTCACGATGTTAGATAACAGTCGTCGATAATATCTAATGGAAACTATGTCGAGTACAACCATATAGTCCTACAAGTCTTGAAATTTTTTTTTCATTAGGTATAGTTGAAACCTTGATCAAAATATAATGAGAAACTACCCAAGATTCTAATAAAAGACGTTGACACATTGTAACTATACGATTCTTTCAGAATTCCATCGTTTATTCCGAAAAAAAAAGTGATTCGATACAGATTGACGACTGGATTTTTTTGAATATCTAATATGGAAAAACTTCAGATTTTCTTGAGAAATATGCATGAAGAATGTTAATTATCGTGTATCGGAAGAATTTAATTACATAAAAATACACATCTTTTTGTTCGATAAAGTCCATTGTCATCCTTATTTTTTTTTCGCAAATCTCTTGAATAATACCATTGAAAATGTAGAGATTTAAGCGTATAGTATAGGCGAACATTTTATGTAAGAAAACATTCTTTAATATCGAAAAAATTCTTATCAAAAAATGCTGTCCGTCATAAGCAGCAGGTTTTTTTTTACTTTATGGCTTCATCTTCATTTTCTTTATATTGTGAGTTTTTTCACAATGTTCAAAGTACATTGTATGATTTGCTTTATCTTCGAAAAAAAATAATTCTTTGTTTGTTTGTAAATACTGAATGCATTATACTTTATATGCATTATCAAATCTATTGTAACTTAAACCTCTTGTTATAAACTTCCTTTCGAGTTTCTGAATATAAAGACACTATATAGTAGTAGAAAAAATTGAATGACTATATAAATATAACTGAAGGATTTAAATCTGAAGAGACAAAATATATAATGACGATCAATTGAATCAAAAAAAAAATGTTTATTTCAAATCTTTTTTCATACATCTGAAGTCCATTGTCTTATTCATACTTAGTTTTTTTCTTACTTTAAATAAATTTTATGATGTTGATGGAGTCTCGTTGTTTTGAATAAACTTGAATGAATGAAAACTACCAATCAACTATTATATATTTCGTAAAGTGAAAGAGAACAGAAGAAATATTTCTTTTTTTTTCTTCTTTGTCATCATTTTTATGTTTAGATTTCATCAATATATTGATACATAACAAATATACATAGTTTTGTTATTTTAATAACGAATAAAAAATTAACCGAAAGTTTTTTTTTTTCATTTTTCAATAAAGACACATGAAAGAATTTTTTTATTCTTTCATACTAATGAATTTCATATGATTAATGAAGACATAGAAGGGTAGAGACAATAGGCTTGCATCTTTTTTCATTTAAAATCTAACATTTGTACATAAGATAAAAGAGTGTATCGAAATGAAAAGTCTTTTCCGATGAAATTCTAAGAGAAAGATAATTCAAAAAAAGGTAGTTTAAATCTTTAGTTTTCTTTATTTGAGAAAAAAAAATGTTTCTTGCTTCGGAGCATTCTAATGTAGCAAAGAGATTCATAGCAATAACAACATTGTAGAACTGCATGAATTTACGCAAGATTTCCGTATTCACATGTATAAAATTCTAAGGTTAAACGAATCTCATCCATTAGTAAGAACAATAATTTGTTTTTAATTTTTCGTTTGAAAATGTTTCAGAGCCGTTCAGTTCAATAGCATTAAAATCAGAACTATTATCTATCCATTGACATAGTTCAATAGTATATTATAAGCTAGAGAATGCGATCGATGAAGCTTGCAACAGTCTATCATTGAATATTATTCAGGCATGTATTTATAAAACTCAAAAAATATATCTACACTTTTATTATGCATATATATCAAAGAAAACTTCTTCAGACTGTAAACTCAATATTTTAGATCAAAAACAGAATTAAGAGTCGTTTTGTTGTTGATAATAAGATATTTTCTCAATAGTCGGCTTACTATTGTCAGTCAAAATTGATAAGTCTATCATTGAAGTTTTTTCCTCTTAATACGTTCGATCCGTTCATCGAACAAATTGACTTCTTTGAAAAAAGAAAAGTCTAAATAATATTAATCATGAATAAATCCCTAATAATAGAACTAAGAAACAACTGTATACAAATTTTATACTTAAATTCATAAGAAAAATATAAAGCTAAAAAGCAAACGAAATATATATAGTTTTTTTTTAATAATAATATTACAAAAAATTTATTTATTTTCTTGATGTAATTTTTTGAATACATGAACTTCTTCTCGTGTTCCTAATCGATAACCATATATATCTGGCATCATTAATGGATCTGAACCATAGTAGCGAATTTTTCCAATATCACCGTCAGAATGATAATAGATACCAGGTGCTCGAAATAAATCATATAAATTCCATTCTATAGGCAATGTATTTTCATCCGGAATTGTTTGTTGTGAATCTTTCAAAATCTAAGTTATAAAAATCAATAAAATAAAATAAGTCAATTATAAAATCATTTCATACTTTAGAAAGTACTGTCGAGTCAATAGGTAGAAATACATTTTTAAGACGAAACGATGAAAAAAGACTTGTATCAGTATCTAAATGTGCACGACATATAATTAAAACTAGAGTTGTTGCTAATGCATCTCTTCTCGATGATTTTTCATTTGATGAAGCTTTAACAGTTTCACTATTAAGCGTCTTAATGGTAAAAGCAATAGCAAATGTAACAATTTTCTTAAATGTATCATTTTCATACGACGAAGATATTGGCTCTTTTGGAGAAAATACACGACTACCACTACTACAACAGAGCCATGATGAACCTGATGGTTGATTTACAGTAGGTTCATTATTGACAATATTATCATTATTATGTTTCAAACAAAGAAGTTGTGAACGATAACGTGTACATAAATGTCGAGCAACAAGTTGAGCAACATCTAATTGATCAGTCATATTACCAACATTTCCAATTGATTTCAATTTCATTTTTATAATATTATAATCTGTTTTTCGAAGTACTTTTGTACTGACGTTGTCATCACTATTTAACATTGATTCAATGTCAGATATAGATGTTTTATCTTCACTTAATAATTGTATGATTTTACTAACTCTAAACAAGGAGCATATTGTTAGTTTCAAGAATATTACGAGAACAATCATGAGATGATCATTGAGTATAAGAAGTACTCGATAAAAAAAAAATTCTTTTTTTGTGCTTTCAATGTATCAATATCTGAAATCATCTCTTGTAAAAGTTGTATTTGTTTTCATCTTAATGGTATATTTAAATTTTGTATAAATTACACTGAAGGATAGAGAATTAAAAACTGAATAAAATGAGCTATTTAAATATAATACAGTTTTGATTGACTTAAGTATTATACGATTAGCATGGATAAAAAATAATTCTTTGTATGGACTCAATTGAATTTTACATATATTATGCAAAACTTTTTATGCTCTACAAAGCCGTAAAAAAATATTCAAGAAAAAATGATATGTTCAAAGTGAGACAAAGTTTACATCTGTCTCTTACATAATGGTTTTTGCAATGAAAGAAAAAAAAACATTTTTTCGCAGTTTTCATTACCATGACACAACTAAATATGACATTGTCAACTTAGCGCTTAATTTTTATATACATGCATTACTAATGTAGTTTTATTGAGTATTAAGGACAATTTTTATCATAACATCAAAAAATAAATACTAACATTTTTTCTTTTATATCGTTAATATCAAAAGACAAGCCATTATTTGACATAAGTAGTCTTAACAATTTCATCACATTGAATTACTAAATCCATCTTACTAATTTGTCCGAGTCTACAAAAGATGCGCACGAAACAGAGATCGAATCGAACCGACTTTTATAGATTCGAGTTCGGTTCGGTTTATTTTCAGTTTCTGATAGGCGTAGTATTTTCCTGTAAGTTTATGTTAAACTAAAACTGTTGTCAGTATAAATTTAAATTGTTATGTAGAATAAATTTAAAATTGTTTTAGATTTATAGTTTTTGAGAATTATTTTCTAGAAATAATAAATTTTTGTGAATTAAAATTCAACAACCCAATCATCAACATATATAACTTCAAGAAAAATAGATCAGAAGTAAGGAGAGAATTGCTATTATACGTTAACATCCGATCATCACTATAGAAGATCCCGTAAGAAAACGGTCGCACTTCGTTCCTGTTATTTTCTAATGATAATAAAAACCTTGTATGGATACCTTTACTAGTAGACCTGAGAGACAAATGGTTTCTTTTGATTTCTATAGATAACTATACAAAATGAAACTTAAGTTAATTAAAATGGAGCTTAAAATATCTCTATATATAATGTTCAGTGTCGGTCTGACGTCTCTGTGCCCAAGTCAAAAGTCAAATAAAGCTATACGGGGAAGGCTATAAGTGTTGCTATATTGGGATACCCATAGACCCTCAAGGACTATTATATGAAGGTACCCTTGGATCCTCAAGTTCTATTGTATGGAGATACCCATAGGCCTCAAGAGCTGTTATATGAGGGTACCCATAGGTCTTCAAGGACTATAAGGCTATAAGGGGTAGGGAATAAGGATGTAAGGGTAAAGGGATAAGAGGCTAAGGCTACAGGGGCATAAGGGATAGAACCAAAAGAGTATGAGGTAAGGGTGCAGAGGATAAGTAAATGATGCTGCGTGGAATATAAGGGATGAAGAAATAACGGAATAAGGTTATAAGAGGTAATACCACAAGAGTATAAGGGTACAAGGGTGTAAGACTTTAAAGGTTTAAGGCTATAAGATCTCTCGATATATATAATGCGAACTATCTGATTGTCTATTACCGAATCAAGGCTAAAGAACAGATGTGAAACTTTACAGAAAAAAAGCATTTTTGCAGTATGCACGAGCTTTCGCTAGTTTCAAATATATTTAGATGTAATTTAAAATAAAATGAAATCTTTTACAATTTATTTCTTGACTTGATAAATTTTTCTAAATGTAAATTGATCGTCCACAATTTCTGATATAAGATGTTCGATCAAAGATCGTTTAGTAATTTCATACAACATCAGAATTTTGCAAAAAAAGAAATCCATAACTCAGTTAATCATTTTTCTTATGTACTTGTCCATATTTATTAGCTTTTCAAAAACTACTTAGGTCCGATTCAGTTTAACGTCACTTTTCAGGAAGTGGTTCAAGTTCGGTCTCTGGCACGAAACGGCAAATCAAAGTTTAGAAATAGAACGAACTGTTTCAAACTCACCACCCTCACTCACGTGCACACCCTCAAAATCGCCGTGCACATTTTTCGAAATCCCTAAAAATAAGTACAACTTTTACAAGATATTTTTTTGTGTTTTGTTCTCATAAACATATGATGATGAATATTGATGCATTGAATGTACAAAAAAAAATTTCTTTATAGAGTACCTATAATTCCTTTATTAAAACATAAAATTTATTACTTACTTATATGATGTATCTTCAACATTGTTGATAATATTGTCACGATCAAGATTTAATACAGCAATAGCTGCAAGTATATTTGATAGATCAATACGTAATTGTTCATAGAATATTAATTGATTTTTATAATGATCTTCAATATCATTTTGTAATGTTTCTTCATCAATATTTTGTTTTCTTCGATTAGTTTCCATATGAATTAATTGACTAATAGCATTTTGATCTAAATGTGGTTCAATTTTACCTGATTCCATTTTATCTTTAACATCTAAAAGATATGTTTTCCAATGATAAACAGCACCTTTATATTTAGATAAGACATTATAAAATTCAAAATGTACTTCATGTGCTACAACAAGATCATTCATTTTCTGATAACAAAGCGCTAAAAGTGCACGTGCTTGTGGATATAAATATTTCGTATCAGTTTCAATAGTAGTACCATATGCAAAAATAGCTTCTCTATAAAATTCTAATTTTGTTGTTAAATTTTTCTTTCGTGTAAGTAATCCATCATATGCTATAGCTAATTCTAAATAACTACGTGGTGATGATGAATCAGTATGTTTAATTTCTTTTCGTAATATTTTTATACGATTTGCAAGCATTGTAATTATAGCAAAATCTGTCATATTAAGTTTTATTCCATGTTTTCGATCATTTGCAGCATCATTAAGTTTACCGAGATGTTCATTAATAATTGCTCGTTGAAATAAAATATCACTTTGTTGAGGTGATAAATCATGTGCTCGATTTAATGTTTTTAAAGCATCTTTATACTGTTCTTTTTCTGTTTGTATGATGCCAAAATGATAATATGCTTGAGCATGATAAGGATGTAAACTAGTAGCTCGTGAAAGCCACTGAAATGCTTGTTCTTTATTATTTAGAACATATTCGCTAAGACCACATCGAAAACAAATATCTGCTTGTTGAGAAGGTTTACTACTGAGTGTCAAAGCTTTTTGTAAATCTTCAAGAGCTGCATTATGTCTATTTAATTCAGCTAAAACAATTCCGCGTTGAAATAAACCTTCAACATCATGATAACAGCCTACATTCGAAGCTCTTTCTAAATCTGCTACTGCCTTGTCAATCTCATTTTTCGATGTATAAACACTTGCTCGACAACATAAATAATATGGATTTTTATTATATGTTAATGTATTTGCTTCATTTATATCTTTCAGAGCGATATCGAGATCATACATAACTTGATATGTCAATCCTCGTGCTATTAGACCCTTATGATATGGCTCACGTAATGATTTACATCGATTTATATATTCAGTATAATCTGCGATAGCCTCGTCATATTTACCAATATTATGATAAGCTAATGCACGTTTATACCATAATTCTAAAGCAAATGGTGATTGTTCATCTTCAGATAATAATTCAAGACATTTAGTAAAATCAACAACTGCTTCTTGTGATTGTGCATAATGTTGAAGTTCAAGTCGAGAACAACCAGCAAGATAGAGTGAAGTTGTTGTATCTGGTTTAATTAAAGCAAATTGTTTGATTGCTTCTCTATAATTATATTTATCAGCAGCACGTATACCTGCTGCAAGTTTTTCTTGTTTGAAACTATTCAATGGAATAGCCTAGAATATAATTTATTCAGAAAAAAAAAAACATTAGTATATAACATAAAAAGAAAAAAAACTTTAAATAAAATTATTTTCAAAATTTTCAATATGTAATACGATCTTTATGGTAATTGTCTGTCACATCTGGAGGAAAGGAAGACCCTGGTTTCTATCGTAAACTTCAACTTTTCTTTTAGATCGTGTTTCACAAAAATTTATAGCTTAAAGACTTCAAAACTGAAGTCTCTAGTGTTTCCCCTTTTCGCTTCTATCTCATCTATAGTTACATGAATAATGCTCAAATCGTTATTACATTGAAAATTTTCTAGAAAATAAAAATAAAATCATCTTAAACAATAATCTTTATTACCCAGTATTGTCTAGGAAGGAGGTTACCCCGTCCTACTCCGAAAAATGTTGACTGAGGCTTTCTCTGGAACTGAACATTTTGGTGGGTTAATTTTCTTCGATTTTGGAGAAATACATTGGAGAACTTTTTTCTGAATTTGAAGAAAATTATTAGGCAATTTTCTCTAATTATTGAGATTTTTTTGAATGATAGCGACTAACTTAAGCTCGAAAAAAGACTGAGAAATCATCAATAGAAACAACAGAAAATTTTTTGACTCTCTCCTGCTTCGACCTCTTCACATCGTTTCTGGTACTGTCTATCATGGAACATTACTTTAGTATATTAGAAACATTGTTAAAAAGTGCAGTTTTTATTATCAATGCGGTTTCATACAGTCTATCAAAACAAATAAAAAAAAATGAGCATGGCTCGAAATTTTGAAGAGAGAAAGTCTATATATAGTAATCAAGAATTCACAAAACATGATTAAAGAAAATGACACATATACTTCTAATCAATTTTTTTTGTTTCATTCTGTTTTGTATTGCAGATTATGTTATGATATCAAAACTTTTAACCTAAACCTTGAACATTTCAATGTTAGTAAAAAATTAGAACAGAATCACTTCCACGTAAAATACTAAAAAAAGAAACAGCTAGTATTTCTAGATTTTGATTATCAAATGTTGATTTTCATTTCAAATAAGCATGATTTTCTGAATCAGCATGCAAAAATACGTCGAAAATTCTATATTACATCGAAAAATATTTCTAGTAAAAATTTTCGTTCTACTCTCCCTCAGCTTTTTATTCATCAAAATTTTAGGCTGTACCTCTCTATAGGTAAAATTTTCAATAAAAAAAAAAAGCAACTTTTGATAATCAAAATCTAGAATCATTAGCTTTTTTTAATGGGTATTTTATGTGGAAATGATCTTGTTCTAAAAATGATAATTTATTTTTTTACTGCAAAGAAGTATAATCCATGGAAAAGACATCACATCCTCTTTCTTGTTATAGAATATTTTATTTTGTACATGTCAAAACTATGTACATACTTTTTCATCATCGACTCCAGATGAATGTATAGAAGTATTTGCCGCTGTTGATGCACTTTTTCGATTTGGAAGAGATGCACCATTTAGTGATCGATTGCTCGCCGTGTGTCGTATAGCCATATTTGGCAACACGTAAATATTTCTTTGTTACAATTAAGTTTGCACTCCTTTAAACTATTTATGATTTGTTTGAGACTGTAACTATGTGTTGGCTTTTTTTTTTGTCACTTAACAATGCAATAATAAAAGAGAGAACAGAACGATTCGTTTTGTATATATACATATGTATTCAATGATTCGATCATATGAAAAAACAAAAAGAAAAAATTGAAGAATAAACAAAAAGTAGTTGTCTGTGTTTCAGTTGTTTTGTCCTTCATCGTAACTTTCACATGGTAGCAAATAGATGTTAACGATTATCAAATAAACTCCTGTTTTTTTTTTCTTGTTTAGTACATAGTATTTAACAAATCTAAAACATAATTTTCGAGTAAAATATTAGAAGAACAAAAAAAAAAGAATAGATGAGATGTTATCTATTGAAATGGTTGATTTAAAGAATCAAATTGATAAGTAATTGAATTTTTGTACAATTTATCATTCATATCAAGATAAATTTCATTATAATCTGTATAGTAAGTAAATGCACAATATTTTAAGTTGAAAATATATGTCATTGATCAATAATTTAAATTTGTTTACTTAATCGAGAGAGATATACAAAAAACATATTCTTCATTATTTTCATGTGATCGTCGAAACTCTTACAAATGAAAATAAATGAACTGAGAAATATTCAAAATCATTCACTTAGAGTCCAAGGATAATTTCGTCAGTTCATTTAATTTAATTTCAATGAGTTGAAGTGATTCAAGACGATCAATTCAATAAATTAATTATTCTCAAATATTAAAATTAAAATTTTTTTGATTTTTAGTTGGCTCTTCATTGCTAGTTAATACTTTTATTAAATCCAATTTTCGAAAAAACTTGTTCTGTGATTATTCTTTGTATACAAAATTATGCGAATGATAATTTCTAAAGATGCTGAGAGCATGGATCATTGATCTCTAGTACTGCGAGTTTTCAATCATTTTAGTTGTAGAAAAAAATTCTTGATACATACACTAAGGTTTGTTTTGTGTTTTTCTTAAAATTAATTTTTGAACAAACAAAAAAATGAAGTTTTCTTTCCTTTTCTCCTATTTTTGCTCATCAATTCTCAAAAAAACACTCACTCCCAAGTCTGATCAATTTTAGCAAAAATCTTTCAATTAGTCTCCTGATTAATAATCGTTCCTCCTCTAATTCGGATGAACTTAGGACGTTCCTGCAATGTCTTGACGTCGAGCATTATCATAAAGTCATTTTATATCTTTTGCATCTGAATCTATAGTTTTACTTTATCTACAGTACATATATAAACAGAATCATTTGATTTAAAGAATATAGAAAACAAAATTTTTTGATTCAAATCTACTTCGCCATACAGTAATCGTTGATGATTCATTTTCACTAATTCAGTTTGTATTCGTTGACTTACACCCAACATGATGTAACTTTTCTCATCTTTGGACAACTAACGTATATATATATACATACGACTTCTTATGACATATATACGGAATTTTATACGCTCTGAGTTCTTATGGAATGTTTGAGTGTGGTGAATAGTAAGCGAATGATTAAGCAAAATTAAAAACGAATATTATGTACGACTCTCAACTGTACCAATCATATCAAAATGGAATATTTTTTCTTTTTCATTTTGTTCATTATATATTTCATTTTTTAATAAATATTGCAATTCAAGATTAGATTTGAAAAGCTGTCGTTATCGACTTTTTTTTTTTTGTAGATAATAAGTTTAAATAAAATCAAAGATTTATTTCATTTTTATAAGAAGCAAGATGTGTTGAAAATAAAATTCATGTAAATAATGAATAATATATATAAATAGATAGGAATACATCTACTTATATGTGTCTATCTGAGAAATGTTTTAGAAATTGTTAACTTCTCTATATTTTGATTATACCTCTTTTAATATTCGTTAATTCACATTTTCAAAAAAAATTTATCTTTTTTATTTTCGAACGTATATTACGTGTTTTTCGTTTTTTACTGTAGATAACATCAATGACTCTTGCGGTCATGCTTCAATTGCTTAATAAAAATATCTTTTGAATTGATATATTTTTTAAAATTGATAGAAGTAGAAAATACTTCTAAAAATTTCAATTTAGACTATTCAATAGCTAATGTTTATTAACGATGATAGAAAAAAACATTATAGGTCGATATATGTTGTTTTACAACATTCTATTAATTTAACATTGGGGATCGTTTTCTATCAAGGAACACCGTACTACATCGAATAAATCCAGATTATTCTTTCAGTAATACTAAAGGATGAAAATAAGATTTTCGAAAAAAGATTTCAGTAGAGTGGTGCACAATTCTTATAAATCAATCTGTTAATGTAATAATGATGTCAGAACTACTATCATCGATAAGAAACTTTAGCTATCAGATAGTTTAGATTGAAATTCTAAACTATTTAATTTTTAGAGATATTTTCTAGTTCAATCAATTGCAAAAAAAAAGGCAAAATCGAAAGACATTCTTATTTTAAACAATTGAAACATGAACTCAAAACATTTCGAGAACAATGATAGATGTTGTTTTATATTGATAATAAATTAGAGAATTAAATGGTAAAATTTTTGAAAAAGAAAATCTAAATCAATAAATATTAAAATAAACATCATTAAAATGTAGAAAGATCCATTAGTCTTAAAATAGCCATGTATTTTTCTATGTCTTATTTTTATTTCAATCTGATCATATATTTACTAATGATCTTCAATTAGAAATTTGACAGAAACCTATCAATAGATGTGTATATACTGTAACATAGTAATGGATGTTTTTTTTTCTT